AATAATATGAGACACGACCCATTGTCTATATTAGAACACTTCTCATTGGGTAACAAAGTCGTAATTTTTCATTTTTGTCAAAAAGTGTTTATAGTGGTGAATTATGGTTTAGGTTTTTTTTAATGAAGTTTCAAAAATTTCTATGTATGTGGAAAATGTAGTTGATTACCAAAGGTTACAATTTTTATTTTGAAGACTGCTTGGTCTAGGAAGTGTACATTATTTTATAGGGCAAGTTTCCAAGGGCGGGTTTTCTAGAGGCGAGTTGACTGTCAAAGAGTGTTGCCAAAGTGCGAGCCAGCGTGTTATTTGATCATAAGTGCGTGAATTATTGTGATGTTAAATAGACAATGTTAGCTATCAAGGAGCAACGTTTTTCATTGGGACCTTCTTCCCTTCAAGGCTAGGCCTATACCATCCTAGCTAGTCTACTAGGCCTAGAGTAGGATTTTTTATTTGGTGAGATGATTTAGTATGGGGAGTTTTCAAGCCGGCGAATTTTCTAGGGGCGAGTTTGTAGAGTCGAGTTGACTGCCAACACATCACACAACGTAAGCATGATCGAATTCGAGTCAACTCGGCACCAAGTCAATTTGGCCGCAGTTTCGCGTCCCCTAGTATAATACATTTTTAATTATTGTTTTAAAATGTAATAATTAGCACGTTGACATAAATAGGTTTAACTGGGTTCGTAAATACTATAGGCCTCAAAATACTGTGCCAAGACTTGGGCCAAGTTGACATTTATACCGCCCATGTTTATAGTAAAAACGCTGAATAGTAATACTCGAGCTGACGTAGAAACATAGTAAAAACGAGCGTTGGTCCTGTGTATGCCAGTCTACAACAAGCGTTGCCTAAATGTAATAATTAGCACGCTGAAATAGGCTAGTAAATAAGTTTAACTGGGTTCGTAAATAATATTGGCCACAAAATATTGTGGCCGAGACATGGGCCGATTAAACGTAGAAATGGGAAACCTAGAAATATAGTAAAAATGCTTAATAGTAATACTCAAGCTTCGCGACATGCGGACGTTTGTACGTGTAGGTAGTCTACAAACGTCGCCTAAAGTAATTGATTTTACCAGGCAGAACGAAAAAAGGAAACTCCGCTTTTCAGTCTTCTTAGGCCCTTGTTTTTTGACAAACAATAACCTTTCAGAGGTCAAATTGCTGTCAAGAATATGAATTGGCTGCTTCGCAGCAATGATTTATATCGGATAAGATCAAATCAGATATCTATATATAATGAAAGAGTTACACGACTGCATAGCTGGACCAAGACGGCGCTGGCAGAATTGAAAGCCATGTTTTTTTTCAGCCACAAAAAAAAAAAAAATTAATTTTATGTGGAAATATGTGGATATACATATTAATGCCAAAACTGGTATACTGTAGTGTATATTGAATATTATTGTAGGGAAAGTGTCAGAATAATTACTTTCTGAAAATAAAGTATATTTTTAGATGATTTTATTCATCAGTGTTGACGGGCGGCCTTTCCCGTTCAAGTATCATGTTACAAAAACAAGAATCATATTTCATATATTTAATTACAGTATTCTAATCATTCAATTTAATTAAAAATGCAATAAGAAACATTTTAAAATAATATTTTCTCAAATATTTAGTGAAAATACATGCACACAATACTGCACATACAATTTAAAACAAATTATTGTTAATTAATTACTTAACTACGATAATTAGAGAATGCTTTAAGCGCTCCTGAAGGTAAAAGGGTTTTAAAGGCCATCATTTAAAAAAAAAATTAGAAAATGACCCAGAAAAAATGAACACTCATAAAACTACATATAAAGATATAGAGGATTAGTAAAAATCAGATATTTTCTGTTGTCATTTTTGAAGTTATGGTCCAAATTCCAATCGAGAAAGATATCTATTTGTAATTCCAGACCACTCACTTCCTTCAATTCCATCAATTTTGCAAAATCCTGAAAGGCTCCTTGATACTCGGAAGATTTCTTTAAATGACGGTCTGATTTATGTTTGATAAAACAATGTTTATTTACTTGGATTTCATACAAGACAGATTTGCTTTTCACACTACCAATTGGTGGGAATTCACAAAAAGGTAAGGCTAAACCATTGTCTACCCAGTAAAAATTACATAAACAACACGTGTATGAATCGTAGTAAAAAAAAAATGTATACCCCGCTTGAAAATGGACGGGTCAAAGTCACCCACTACTGTATACTTGCATACACGTGGAAAGATTCTTGTATGCAAATTTGGTTTCCTGGTTTTCTCACATGCAGTGCTCGAAATAACGGTCTTGTTTGTAACTACCTGGACTATCAGGTTGTTGGCTGATAATTGTCTCTGGTGGGCATTCCGTTTTCCGTACGACTGTTGCAGGAGAGAGACGTGTCATCTAGACTGATGTTCTTCTTGTCATAGAGAAAATATAAATATTTTCTCTTTTAGTTTTAGCTAATTATCTTGTTTTGATGTCTTTCTTTTTGATTGTAATTTTTATATTTTTTCTTGTTGTTAGGATGCACCACCCCTGTGTTTGAGTGCCACTGATTCAAAAGTGCATATCGAAATAAATTATATTACATTATATAATTAATTTACTGTATAAAATAATGCAGTAAAATTTTAATAGTCAACAAAATATAGGCCAGCTAGGGCATAGAAATTGAAGTAGGCATGGCAAAGCCCAGTGGGTTTGTTATGATAGTGACTGGCCTACAGAACATACTATTTAACATAATATGTATAGTACCTGTTCTTTTGCTGTACTGCACAGCAAATTTAATTACCAATAAAACTGATGCTTTTATATTGTTTTTACATGCATTTTCGTTCCGATGTACTTTTTGGAAGCCGCACCTCCTAAACATCGCCCGCTAATTGGTTATTTTTTGTCGTGGGCAAACATGTGCTTCGGTGTGTGACAAGAACAAGCTCAGTGTACTGATAAAGTTTTAATTAAACAGATTTACGAAAATAAATAATCTAAATAAATCTAACAAATTTAACTTTCATGCTCTACAAGTTTCCTCCATAATTAAATTAGCAACATGTTTTTGAGAAGTGTCTTAAGTTTAAAGAATGAATGAGGCTATGCATTTATAATTTACCCTGATAAATCTAACGATGTCCAAATCCTACCGGACCTGCTCTGAGGGCCAGAGACCACGCCTATAAAACCCTGGCAGCCAATTAGTTAATTTGTTTTTTCGTGGGTGCGGTGGTGGTGGTGTGCAAAAACATGTGCTTCAATTGGGATGACATCAGAAAAGTTTAACGATGACGGCGATTTAATTAAATAGATTTATTTAAATAAATAAAGAAACCCTAATGGTTTTATTTTAGAGAAAATATTAATAAATCTAACAAATTTAACATTCATTCTCTACAAATTTCCTCTTTAATTAAAATAGCAACATGACTGAAGCTATGTATTTTTGTAATCTACAATGACGAATCTAACAACGTCCGAATCAAAATTAAACGCCTGCCTACTGAAAAGAATCACCCGCAGAAACATGCTTTGAGTTTACTGGTGGAACTTGGAAGGTTTAACTTTCATTTTATTTAACATTTACTGGCATGTCATTTTAATCAATTCATTATTATCTCCTCATGGCATGACAGTTCGTTTTCATGCCAGGCATTTGATAGCCCTATGCTTGTGTTTTGAATGTTTACATAACTGATCATCTGGTTTTAGAAGTTGATTTTTGTGTTTGGACTTGGAGTCGATTAATGATAAATCATAGGATTTCACAAAGATTTGAAGGAAGAAAATTAGGGGGGGGGGTTTCAGAAAAAACATTCATTTTGACAATGATGACATGATGAAAATGGAGGGCACAATTATGAAAGAAAATTGTCTCCATTATATAATATACTGAAACTTGGGAGACGATTG